TGCCCCCCCGGCCCCCGCCCTCCGTACTGGGGCCTCTGGCAGCGGGCGCCTCGTCGGGGCCACACGGGGTTCGCCTGCAGACCGTGTCTGAGCCCCCAGCCCCGGGTCGTAGTCCTGCAGGGAGCACGCCCCCTGGCGTCTCTGCCCTGCCCCCCCCCCGTCCGCCCCCTCACATCCTGTGCTCTGCCCCCCTGTCCGCCCCCTGGCGTCTCTGCCCTGCCCCCCCGTCCGCCCCCTCACGTCCTCTGCTCTGCCCCCCACGTCCGCCCCCTCACCTCCTCTGCTCTGCCCCCCTGTCCGCCCCCTGGCGTCTCTGCCCTGCCCCCCCTTCCGCCCCCTCACGTCCTCTGCTCTGCCCCCCACGTCCGCCCCCTCACCTCCTCTGCTCTGCCCCCCTGTCCGCCCCCTGGCGTCTCTGCCCTGCACCCCCCGTCCGCCCCCTCACGTCCTCTGCTCTACCCCGCATGTCCGCCCCCTGGCGTCTCTGCTCTGCCCCCCACCCCCGTCCGCCTCCCACTTGGTTCGAGTCCCCACGGCTCCCAGATCCGCGGCTGAGGCCCCTGAGAGACCGCGTGCGCCAGCCGGCAGCTGCGACGGAGGCACGGCTGAGACCGCAGGAAAGGGGTGCAGAACCCGGTGCCACACGCAGGCCGGAGCGGGACGAGCCCAGGACCCGCAGACCCAGAGCAGGACGCGAAGGGAGCCCCCAGCCCCTGGCGATCCCGGGCTCCTGCCCCCAGCTCGCCGGCTGACTTGCCTTCTCCCTCGTACACGGACACACGGCCGCCCCCCCACCCTCCCCCCGGGGACCTGTACCCCCAGGAGGCCGAGGAGACGTCCCGCTCTCGGCTCTGGGCTGTGCGTCCGCCGCACCTCACTGCCGCGCACCGGAGGCTGCTCGTGCTGCGCGGGGGCGCCCGCCGCTTCCACGGGGCAGCCGGGCCGCGGGCACGGGGGGGGGGGGCTGGAGTCGGGGCACAGCGGCCACACTGGCCACAGACGCAGACTGCAACGAGCTGCTCCAAGCCGTGAGCTCTGCCTGCCTGTGGGCTTCCTTCCCTTTTCTTTTTTAATGTGTGTTTATCTTTGAGAAACAGAGGGAGCAGGGGAGGAGCAGAGAGGGCGGGAGACACAGAACATGAGCAGGGGAGGGGCAGAGAGAGCAGGAGGGAGACACAGGATCCGAAGCAGCGCCAGGCTCCGAGCTGCCAGCACAGAGCCCGACGCGGGGCTCGAACCCATGGACCCCGAGGTCATGACCTGAGCGGAAGCCGGGTGCTGAACCCGCTGAGCCCCAGGCGCCCGAACCGGCCGCTTCTAAGCCCGGGGCGGCTCGGTCGGTGAGCGTCCCAGTCTGGGCCGCAGCTCGGGCCCGGCCCCGGGGTGTGGATCGCGGCCGCGCGGGGCGCCGGACGGTTCTGTGTCTGTCCCCCGTCTGCCCGTCCCCCCTGGAGCCGCGTCCCCCCCCCCAACACAACCGCTGTGAGAACAAACAGACGAAACGCGAGTTGTGCCGCGACACAGAACACGGGCGTCAGCGAGACGAGCCCGCGGGCCGCACGGAGCGTGAGGCGGCGGACGGGGCCGCGAGACCTTTGCGCGGAGATCTCTTCCGGGTCAGAGAGAACTTCCGCCCCTCGGCTGACTTACAGATACCAGGGCAGGTGCGGCGGGTCCTCAGAGTCTCACGCGTGTTGGTGAGGGAGACACACGGGGGAGGGGAGGGGGGAGGGGAGGGGGGAGGGAGGGGCACACACGCCTGCACTGGACTCCACAGCCCTCATGCTCAACGCCGCGCGACTTCCGGGGCCGTGAGGGGGGCCCTGCCACGTGGACACGGCGTGTGTGGGACCCGCGAGCCTCGCGCATCGTGCACGCGGCCCGGCCGCGCCGGCAGGCAAGGAGGAGGGACGGAAGGCGCTGTGCACCGTGTAGACATGACCCTCGCCTGATCCACGGGCCCTGCTGCCAACCTGCCGTGTCTACGCCACTCAGAGGCCCCGTGAGGAGGCCGGGGCGCCCTCGCGGGCAGGGGACACGGGCGGCGACCACGCGCTTCTGCGCCGCACGGGAGAAGGCCGGTGGCTCAGGGACACAGTCCGGACGCGGCGCGCCTCGGCCTCGGCCCCTGCCCTGCACTCACGCGCTCTCGCAAAGGAAACGAGCTTTAAAACCAAATACGAGCTGAACACGAAACATATAAAACGCGTACAGAAGCAGGACCGACGCCCGTGACCCCGGTGTCACGCGAGCTGCACTGGCCTCAGCAACGCTGGACACGCCTCTGCCTCAAAGGGCGGCAGGGCGCCCGGGGCCGCCTCACGCCCCCCGACTCTCCAGCTGAGACGGCGCGGGGCCGGCCGTCGGGGAGCACTCGCCAGGCAGGGAGCACGTGCAGGTCGTCCGGGAGCACTCACCGGCCAGGGAGCACTCGCCAGGCAGGGAGCACTCGCCGGTAGTCCGGAAGCACTCTCGAGGCAGGGAGCACTCGACGGTAGTCTGGGAGCGCTCACGAGGCAGGGAGCATTCACCAATCATCAGGGAGCACTCGCCAGTCAGGGAGCATTGGCCGGTCAGGGAGCAGTTGTCCGTCATCAGGGAGTTGTGACCGCACGGTCATGTGTCGCGTCCACGGGCGGGGGGGGGGCGGGGCAGCGAGGGGGGGGGCCAGCACCCGGCGCCTCAGGAGGGGCCTCACCTGGGAAAGATCTAGAAGAGCTTGTCCTGCATGAGGGTGACCCTGACGGTCAGAAGCTGTCGCGGCCCCGGGGAAGCGCAGTGGGGCCACAGCGCATCCCGGCCCATCCGCAGCCCCTGCCCGCCCAGGGCGCCCGCACGGCCTCCCTCCCGCACGAGCTCGCTCAGCCCCCGCGACGTTGAGTGACACCCCTCCACCCGAGCTCCAGGGCGGGTCCCGCGTTGTCCTGCGGACACTCCAACCTCTCCCCTGAGAACCCAGGGAGCCCAACTCCCACCGAGCGGAGCTGCAAGGCCCCTGCGGGAATGCGTCCTCAGCTCCCCAGGCTGCGCCCCCTGCACGGCTGACCTCACCCCTCCTGTCCCAGACGGGTCAGCAGGTCACAGGGTCATAGGATAACAGAGTCACCCAAGCGGAGCTGGAGTTCACGACCCCAACACACTGACACACGAAGCAGGCAGGTCACACACTACAACCCCAGCAATCCCAGGGACTACGAATGCCATGTTCAGGACCCCAGCAAATCCAGGGACTACAACAAACGCCATGTTCAGGACCTGAGCAATCCCGGGGACTACGAATGTCAGGATCAGAACCTCAGCCATCCCAGGGACTACGAATGCCATGTTCAGGACCTCATCAATCATGGGGACTACGAACGCCATGTGTGGACCTAGCAATCCCGGGGACTACGAATGCCAGGATCAAAACCTCAGCAATACCAGGGACTGTGAACGCCATGTTCAGGACCCCAGCAATCCTGGGGACTATGAATGACATGTAAGGACCTCAGCAATCCCATGGGCTATGAATGCCATGTTCCGGACCTCAGCAACGCTGGGGACTATGAATGCCATGTATGGACCTCATCAATCCCGGGGTCTACGAATGCCACGTTCTGCTCCTCAGAAACCCTGGGATTACATATGCCACATTCAGGACCCCAGCAAATCCAGGGACTACAACAAACACCACGTTCAGGACCTCATCAATCATGGGGACTACGAACGCCATGTGGGGACCTAGCAATCCCGGGGACTACGAATGCCAGGATCAGAACCTCAGCAATACCAGGGACTATGAATGCCATGTTCAGGACCCCAGCAATCCCATGGGCTACGAATGCCATGTTCAGAACCTCATCAGTCCTGGGAGCTATGAATGCCACGTTCAAGACATCAGCAATCCTGGGGACTAAAACGCCATGTTCATGACCCAAGCAATCCCAGGGACTACGAATGCCACGTTCAGGACCTCAGCAATCTCAGGAGCTACGAATGCCATATCAGAACCTCAGCAATACCAGGGAGTACGAACACCATGTTCAGGACCTCCACAATCCCGGGGACTATGAATGCCATGTGGGGACAGGAAACAGTGTCCCCCTTCGAGTAAGCTTTCTGAGCTCTGGCCCTTCTCACTCATCCCACTGCTCAGAAAACGAGTGATCTGGGCAGAACTTTCTCCAGCACTGAGGCTGTGCCGCTCAGGGGGCAGTGAGCTGAGCCCGAGCAGAAGGGTCGGTCAGGGGCCTGCAGGTGCAGAGAAGCCTCCGTGCGTGGGTGCGTACAGGGTGTAAGCCACGGGGTCTGTAGCTCTGCCCTCGGGACCCCTCCCCTGTCCTTGGAGCCCCGCATTCTGGGAAACGTCCTGATCCCTCAGAAAGGCTCAGAAAACCCGCGGTAATTTAGGAAACAGGTTTCCCTTGCAGGGAGGACACCCCTCGGGTCGCGTAGCAGCTGCTCCGTTCTGCTGCGGAAACGAGTGACTCAGTGACTCTGTGATCCGCTCAGCGTGGTGGACGGGACGCCAGGCCCAACGGGAACACGCTGCCGGTCCTAACAAGTCCCGAGGAATGTTCTGGACGTTCCAGGCTTTGGGACCACTGCAGGGACGCCGTGTGCAGCCTCCATACCTGTGCACGACACCTGGGGCCTTTTATTACGTCACACGCACGCAGTATCCAACGCTGTGCGACTCTCACCACAGCACACAATTCAGGGTCAGAAGCAGATAAACGAGGGATAAAACCGCTAAGATCTAAGTTCCTAAACCCGACGAAAAACTGCTGAAAAGTGGGCACCGGAAACCAAAAGTCGAAGATATTCGACCACCTTGGGACTCGGCAACGACAAAATTTTTCAGCACGTGGGGCCTCCTTTGGGGGGAAAACAGCTAACTATTTAGTGTCCACGAGTGGAAAACAGCTAACTATTCAGTGTTCACGAGTGTTCACGGCCGACGGCGCGGACGCGCGACCTTGGTCCCGTCGTGGGCGTCCGCACAAGCAAGAGGCACTTACTACTCGCGTCCCTGCGGATCTACGAGTCCCGCGGGCGTGGGGCCCGTTCCTGGGGCTGCCGGCGGCTCCCAGGGGGAGGGCGGCGGCCGCGGGGCCCGGGCTGGGCGCCCCCGGGCTGTCGAGCGCGCCGGGCTTGCAGGCGGGGACGGGCGGCGCCGCGGCGCCCGCGCCCAGGTCAGGGCGCCCGGGCGCGCGGACCCTTCGCAGACAGTCCTCCAGCATCGCCTGCGTGCCGGCCTCGCTGAGCCAGCACAGGAACAGCTCGTCCACCTTCATCTTCAGGACCGGCTGCAGCACCTTGCCGGGCGGCATCTCCGGGGCGCGGCCGCCGCTCCCCGCGGAGCCCCCTCCTCCGTGCGCACCCCTGCCTGACACCGGGAACCGGAGTCGGGCCTGAACGCACCCCTGCGGAGCACGCCGAGGCCGCCGGCGGGGGGCGCGGGCCTAGGGTCTGGGGAGGCGGGGTAGCAAGCCCGGGGTCCCGGGAGGCGGGGGATTCGCAGGCCTGAAGCCCGGGGTTCGGGGAGGCGGGGTTCGCAGGCCTGAAGCCAGGGAGGCGGGGTTCGCAGGTCGGGAGCCCAGGGTCAGGGGTTGCGGGGTTCGCAGACCTGACGCCCACAGAGGTGGGGTTCGCAGGCCTGAAGCCCGGGGTCCGGGTAGGCGGGGTTCGCAGGCCTGAAGCCCAGGGAGTTGGGGTTCGCAGGTTGGGAGCCCGGGATCAGGGGTCGCGGGGTTCGCAGGCCTGAAGCCCGGGGAGGCGGGGTTCGCAAGCCCAGGGTCCGGGAAGGCGGGGTTCGCAAGCCCGGGGTCCGGGTAGGCGGGGTTCGCAGGCCTGAAGCCCGGGGAGGCGGGGTTCGCAGGCCTGGAGCCCGGGGTCCGGGGAGGCGGACGCGGGTGAGGAACACTGCCCGGCCCGGCGGGGGTCCGGGCGCCTCGGGGGCCGCGCGGACTCCGGGCCCGGCGGACGCGGGCGGGCAGGATGGCAGCAAGACTGGCGCGGCTCAGAGCAGCTTCAAAACGGGCGCGCCGGCCGCGCTCCCAAAGAAGGTCGCCTACGTTGTGCGTCACCGCGACGCGTGGCGTCATCACGGCGGCCGCGGACGCCGCAGGCCGGCACGCGCGGAACGGGCCGGGGCCTCGCCGGGGGCGCTTTGCTAGGACGGGGACGCGGAGTGGCGGCCTCCCGGTGTGACGACTTTCTGCTTTTAGGCCTTTTACGGGTGCGGCCCACGCCCGCGAGACCTGAGGCGGCGGAAGCGGGAGCATGCGCCGTGCGTGCGTGCTCGCCGTGGTGGCGGGGGGCGGGCTGGGGGTGGGGAAAGCAGCCTGGCGGTTTGACCATGCGCAGTACGTGCAAGCCGGGAGCGAGCCGGAGGCCTGGCTGTTGGGGGCGGGGTTCTACAAGTATAGGCATGCGCACTACGTACCCGCCGAGAGCGAGCGGGCCCGGCCGTGTGTCGGGCGGAACACGGGCGGGCATGCGCAGTGCGTGCCCACCGGGAGCGCGCGCGGGCATGCGCAGTGCGTGCCCGCCGAGCATAGGAACGCGAGTGCGCGCCGCGGGTGTCGGGAGCGAGCGCGAGGCTGGTGTTGCAGATGTTCCGGAGGGAAGTTCAGAGCCGCAAGGGCCCCTTTGACGTTAATTTTGTTTATCGCACGGGGAGGGAGGTTTGGAGACGCGGAACTCTTAAAAATTGCTCAGCGTGAGGACGAACTGCTTTTATAATTGCGAAAATAATAAATCTCTTTTGTCGGAAGTGAAAGTGACTGAAATGACCTTTTGACCCCTGAGTAGTATGTTTCCGTGGTTACTCTTAACAGGCCCCTTCGATCATGCCCATTGCGCTGCGTGCACCTCTTTCCTTTTGAGTCTCAAACTTGTTTTCTTCTTCCTAACGTGATTTTGTAAAAGAAAAAAAAAAGTTTTCACAGGGGTTTGCTCCCTGTTTTAGGAGGTACTTTGAAGTTTGGTGAGCTGGGTGGTAGTTCTCAGCAGGATACATACAGAGAGGCGCTAACCGTCTGGGTTTATGTTGTGCGCCTAAGGGTTTGAAGCCCCGTGTGTGGCACGCCCGCAGGTGGAACCAGCGTGCCCCGTCGGTGAGAGCACCAGGATGCAGGGATTCAGTGAGGCCCCTTCTGTTCATCAGGAGGCAGATGCTTGCGTGCGTCGCCGTCCTCTCTGCAGGCAAGTAAATATGAATACTGATGGCCCTTTGGGTTTATCACATACAGACACCTTGTCTGCCAACAAACGTGCCTTTCACCCTGGGTCTGCGAAGGAGCCGCCCCTCGGTGACCCCTGCACCGCTGTGGTCTTGGCAGGGAAAGGTCTGTTTTGAGCCCCTGCACAAGACGCCTTTATATGCCCGGGGACCCGGGCGCAGCGGTGAGGCCGACGTTAGTGCCTGTGTGGCTGCCAGGCGGGCAAAAATAAGGTCCAGGACAGAAACAGAATGCACCATGCCTGCGAGCGTGCGGGCCCTGGGAGGGCGAGAGGCGCTGAGGGGCCCCAGACCCCGGGCAGGGATGTGCAAGGCTCGCCCCTAAGCAGGGCACAGTGTGCTGATGGCACGAAGCATGGCCCCCGGTTCGGTCTGACTTCCAGGGGTGTGAGGAGGCCCCCGGCAGAGGCGGAAGGCTGCCAGTGCAGAGGAAGGTTCCGGAAGATTCTGCAGCGGGAGGCAGAATTGAGGAACAGCCGAGTCAACTTCCCTGCTCTGTCGTCCGGGGGAGGTTGGACAGGAGGCGGCTGGGATGGCTGAGGACGGCTTCCTTCATCCATCTGAGGACGCTTCCCTCTGCACACAGCCCGCCTGGTCCCGGGAGCCGCTGTGGACACGACGTCAGCAGAGCCCGGCGGGCTGGCCGCTCAGGAAGGCAGGCTCTGGATGTCCCCTCGCTGAATCACCGACTAACAACATGCGTGGCTGTGCAGTCGCGGTGGCCGAGGGCACAGCTGGACATGGGAAGGGAAGGCGCCCCGAGGACGGCGCCCCTGAGGTCACGTCCCACTGTCCCCGGCTGACCCTGCGCTGCGCAGACCCTCACTTTCCCCAGCTGCAAAGCAGGGATCCGTCCAGATCTGCCAAGACTGTTCCTCCAAACGACTTGCCTTTTCTTCTCTTTAAAAAGCTTTGTTTCTGTCATGGAAACGAACTCCAGAATGGCCGTAAAGGAGCACATGTTTGATTTTAAGTGATTTCCCGTCACAGACGCTGTGAGGGGCCCTTGGAACCGGCGTCGGAGCCTCTGATCCCCTCGTCTGCTACCAGTTGTGAATTCTGCTTCTTGTCTCTCCCTTCCGCATTTTTTAAAAAAGCTTTATGTCTTTATTTTATTTTGAGAGACAGAGACAGAGAGAGCGAGCCAGTGAGGGGCAGAGAGAGAGGGAGACACAGAATCCGAAGCAAGTCAGCACAGAGCCCGACGCGGGGCTTGAACCCATGGACTGTGAGATCATGACCTGAGCCAAAGTCAGATGCTCAACCGACTGAGCCCCCCAGGTGCCCCTCCCTTCTGCATTTTTACGTGCTGTGCTCTGCTTCTCACGGATTTGCTTTCCAACATGTGGTTTTGTTTCTCGCTCAATGAGGCGTCCGTGCAGACGGTTTGCAAATGTAGGGATTTGCTCTTTTCCTGGGTGGAGCCTTGAACGCCGCGACGCTGTGGTTTGCTGGCTGGCTGGCTGGCGCTTCCCACGACCGAGATGTTTCCTGTGGCATGATTGTCACTGGATCTTTTCCTTCTTGGGAGCCCATCAGCCCTGCACCCCCTTCCTGGCGGGACTTAGCCCAGGACTCAGCATCACGGCTTCCTCTGGACTCACACCAGGCTGGTTTTCCGTGATGGGTCTCCAAGGCAGAACCACGGACGAAATGGCCTCGGCAAGTGTGTGCAGCAAAGGCCGTGTCATGGTCGCGGTCACTGCCTACGAGCTATGGTGTCCCTGCCCCCAGGACAGAACTCGCACAAAACATCCCTTAACACTTAACACTTAACACTTTCCAATCTGAGCAGTGGGGTTTTAGGTAAGATGCCATACAGACCTGGTAATTAAAAAATGATAATTTTACTTCATTAGCTCCCATTTTAGTAAGGTTTCAAAGAAGGGGGCGCCTGGCTGGCTTTGCCAGAATAACACAGGAGTTTGATCTCAGGGCTCTGAGTTCCAGCCCCAACTGCGTGTAGACATTACTTAAAAATAAAATCTTATTTCAGGGGCGCCTGGGTGGCTCAGTCGGTTGAGCATCTGACTTCGCTCAGGTCATGATCTCACAGTTCATGGGTTCGAGCTGCTTCAGATTCTGTGTCTCCCCTTTGCCCCTCCCCCACTCACACTCTGTCTCAAAAATAAATAAAACATTAAAAAATTAAAAACATATTTTAAAAGCTTTCAAAGATGAATAAAAGTGTTGGACTAACAGCAGCTCTAAACGAACTAAAGAAAATAGAAAAATCATAAATGGTTAGGAAGAGACTGGACCTTGATCAGATTTGCCCTTTCGTCCACGGAAAGGGTTTCACAGAGGTTATGCACGTGTGCATGTTTCCCAGATGCCCGTGTATTTTCCTGATTCAGGAGCCGGTTTTATTATTTTTTTTATTTTTTGTTTTTTAAATGTTTATTTTTGAGAGAGAGAGAGAGAGGAAGTATGGGAGGGGCAGAGAGGGAGACAGAATCCGAAGCGGCTCCAGGCTCCGAGCTGTCAACACAGAGCCCGAAGTGGGACTCAAACCCACAAACTGTGAGATCATGACCTGAGCCACTTAACCGACCGAGCCCCCCAGGCGCCCCCAGGTTCCCACTCTTCCACACTGTGGGGCTCAGGACTTGGGGGCTGTGTGTCTACACCATCCTGCAGATGCCTGTTGACTGTTAGACCGCGTGTTGTGTCTGCCTCTTTCCATCAGTTCTTTCTCTTTTAATTTATTTATAGTGTATTTATTGTGCTGGGATGCAGCATAATTAAGCTGCCTCCTGCCAGGTTTCTGAGTATGTGCTACAAGCCTGAGGACACAAATAAATAAAAGACAGTTCATGATCTCAAAGATTTCCTAGTCTAACAGGGTGGTAGCAGCGATTTCTACAATTGGGTAATTCAGTGTACAATTTCACGGAACCATGTAGAAGCGTGAGGAGAGAAAGAAACATTTATGGGAGGAAGCACTGGCGGAGGGCGGGAAGGAGAGCCTCACAGAAGCAGCACTAATTAAGTGGACATGTTCAGGACATTTTATACCGGAAAGGAAACTGTATGCAAGGAACACACATCAAAAAGGAGCTAAGAAGACCTCGTGAGGGGCTTTTGTGCCAAAGACGTTTGGTCTTTTCGTGTCCAGTAAATTAATGGAGGCTGGACGAATACTGATCTGTGCTACCTTCTTGTGAAACATTTGGTTTGGGAGGGAGAAGGGTCCCTAATACACCTGTTGCTTTGGGGAAAGATCAGAAAACAAAGCTGCAGGCGGGTTGTTACCATCTGCATTTGATGAATTACAACACAAAAGACACCAGTTCAGAAAAGAAGGGGCTGCTTTGCAATGAGAATTTTAGAGAGAACTTGGACAGCTTTAAAACTGCAGGGTGGAGGGGTGCCTGGGTGGCTCAGTCCGTTAAGCGTCTGACTTCGGCTCAGGTCATGAACTCACAGTTCGTGAGTTTGGGCCCTGCATCGGGCTCTGTGCTGACAGCTGAGTATATGGAACCTGCTTTGGATACTGTGTGTGTCTCTCTCTGACCCTCCCCTGCTCGTGCTCTGTCTCTGTCTCTCTCTCAAAAATAAATATTAAAAAAAGAAAACTGTTTTAAAAAAACCTGCAGGGTTGAAAAATGAACCAGGGTTTCGCCCAATCAGAAGTGCGGCCGTGATAATAACACCTTGGGGAAACACCCAGTGCGACTTGAATCCCCTTTGTAAAAACCCCTGAACGAATTAAGGTAGACAACAGGGCTCCCAGAAAGAGCTCAGAGTCCCTGTGACTGAGTTAGGGAGAAGGAGCAGCCTGGATCAGCCAACATCCTGCCGCGGGGAAGCTATTTTAACTAGCTATTTGGGGGAAATGCTTGTTATGAAGTGACAGCTGACTGATACATAAAATTGGAGCCACTGCAGCGGGAGATTGAAACGATCAAATACG